ATATATATTTAAAAAAATTTTTTAATTAAACCTCCTTTCACGTTGCAAATATTATTTTGATGACTTCTGTTGACATAATGTTGATCATTAGCTACAACTTAATATTGTGTGTAATTTAAACTCAAATTTCTGTTAATTATAAATAATAATAAAGTTAATTACTTAATGAAATTGTCTTGATAGCTTTGGAAATTGGGCAGTGGATTTCTAGTTTCCAGCATGACTGGATAAAGAAAATAAAATGTTGAAACTGCTTTTAACTGAAATAGATCAGATTTATTGGTTCCAGGACCACAACTCAGCTGGAGCAACTTTTATTTGTGTGTTTGTTTGTTTGTTTGTGAGTAATCAACTTACCAATTTGTGTTTATGCTACAAATTATTAAGTACCTCGAACTTTGTGTAGTTTGTTGGTAGTTGTCATAACTCCAAAAGATTGATGCATACTGTTGCGATCATTAATAAATAAATAAATTCATTTTAGTTAGTTAATTAGTTATTTTGCTTGTTTGTTTGTGCACTGTATGGACATTATATGGAGACAGATTATTTGTTTCTAAAAATCTTCGTTTGTGTTCATCTGGAAGTCATCTACAGTTGTGCCGACACGAGGCTGTGTACATGTACAGCATATGATGAGAAAACTCTGGGTTTGGGTGAATGTTTTCATCTTTTGCAGAAGTGAAGGAGCTGCTGCAGAGAGCTGAGCATGTCTCGTGTCATCTTGCTTTAAATATGTAGCGGACTGCATCCTGAGTCCAGCTGCTGCTGTTTCACTCTCGGTGTCATTCTGAGAGCATCATAATAAGCTCGTCTGCTGCTCAGAAGCTCTGGTGAGTAGACTACCTGAGAAGAATCTCATCATTAATGCTCTCGTGGCGAAAAATATGTTTCGCGTTTTAACTGTTTTACGCTATGTGGTCTCTGACTTTCTCTCTTTTAAAGGTTATTAGGCCTGAGAAATGTAGCGTTATAATAAAGACGTTTAAATGGCACGCCACAATAATCTGTTAAAGTCATCATGAAACAAATCAATAACATGCCGCTGATTTTATCACCGTGTTGTTAAACGAGCGTGTGTGCGTTAATAACAGCTGGCCGGAACACCGCGTGCTTGACCTGACTTTATCTTGGCACGAGTCTATGAAAACTCAGAGAGAGGAGCGCCTGTCCGTGGGAACTATTAATGACAATAATCACCCAGGACGCCTGTGATAATTCCGGTGTATATAGTCTTTGAGTTGCAGTGAATAGAGCAGCCCATTGGTTTTGTTCTCAAAATAAATATAGTTTCGCCGTTTCTTAAAAGTTCGAAATGTGATGAAAATATGAAATGTGATGTCCTCATCTGCGCGTCACAGAAAACATCAGCAAAGAGCTCAAGGTGAGATATAAGTCACGTTCATTGCTCTGTGAAGTATTGGCTGAGTGCACTGACAATATTCTCTTTTTGTGCGGTTTATTTGTCTCTTTAGATTATACAAGTATGAATCATTTAATGGAAAGTTTAAAACAAAATGCATGAGGATATATATATATATATATTGGCTGCACAGTAATACGTTTAGTTCAAACTCCCTGCTGAAAAAAACAAACAATAGACACCATCACAGAATTTGTAATGGTTTTACTGGTTATGATGGGAATTGTGTTGGTTTTAATGGACTCTACTGGTTATTGGTCGCCTTCTATTGGTGGCATGTTAAAACCACTAAATCCTAATGGAATATGTCCCAAAACACACTACAGAAAACCGTTGTTTAATGGTTTTAATGGTTCATAGTTGATGGTTTGTAATGGTATTTGTAGTGCAAACCATTAGAATTTCTGTGAAGGTTTCTATTGTTTTTTTCTGTATCTGACATGTATCTGACAATTTTCCAAGGTTTTCATTTGAGTTAATTCAGTAGGTGATCATAAAATGTAATTCTGCAGGTATAGGCCAATAGAGGTTTTTGCAAACATATGTTGAATATAAAAAATGTCCCGTTCTTGTTGTTGCGTATATTTCACCATCACTAGCTGAGTAGTTATCCTGCGATGAGACATTGTTATAAATATGTTGGGAAATTAGATTCCTGTAGGCAGGATACGTACATATTAGATAGTGTTTCTTATTTTGTTCATGACCCATGTGAAAACACTGAGTGCAGTGCGTCTGAATGATGAGTTGGAGTTAGGAGCACAGACTAAGCGAAACACACTGATGATTAGGTTGCACTGACAATATTCTCTTTTTGTGCGGTTTATTTGTCTCTTTAGATTATACAACTATGAATCATTTAATGGAAAGTTTAAAACAAAATGCATGAGGATATATATATATATTTTTTGGCTGCACAGTAATACGTTTAGTTCAAACTCCCTGCTGAAAAAAACAAACAATAGACACCATCACAGAATTTATAATGGTTTTACTGGTTATAATGGGACTTGTGTTGGTTTTAATGGAAACTGTAATGGTCCCTGTGGGTCTCTACTGGTAATTGGTTGGTTTTAATGGACTCTACTGGTTATTGGTCGCCTTCTATTGGTGGCTTGTTAAAACCACTAAATCCTAATGGAATATGTCCCAAAACACACTACAGAAAACCGTTGTTTAATGGTTTTAATGGTTCATAGTTGATGGTTTGTAATGGTATTTGTAGTGCAAACCATTAGAATTTCTGTGAAGGTTTCTATTGTTTTTTTCTGTATCTGACAATTTTCCAAGGTTTTCATTTGAGTTCATTCAGTAGGTGATCATAAAATTAAATTCTGCAGGTATAGGCCAATAGAGGTTTTTGCAAACATATGTTGAATATAAAAAATGTCCCGTTCTTGTTGTTGCGTATATTTCACCATCACTAGCTGAGTAGTTATCCTGCGATGAGACATTGTTATAAATATGTTGGGAAATTAGATTCCTGTAGGCAGGATACGTACATATTAGATAGTGTTTCTTATTTTGTTCATGACCCATGTGAAAACACTGAGTGTATCTGACAATTTTCCAAGGTTTTCATTTGAGTTAATTCAGTAGGTGATCATAAAATGTAATTCTGCAGGTATAGGCCAATAGAGGTTTTTGCAAACATATGTTGAATATAAAAAATGTCCCGTTCTTGTTGTTGCGTATATTTCACCATCACTAGCTGAGTAGTTATCCTGCGATGAGACATTGTTATAAATATGTTGGGAAATTAGATTCCTGTAGGCAGGATACGTACATATTAGATAGTGTTTCTTATTTTGTTCATGACCCATGTGAAAACACTGAGTGCAGTGCGTCTGAATGATGAGTTGGAGTTAGGAGCACAGACTAAGCGAAACACACTGATGATTAGGTGTTTCGATGGTCTGAGGATGAGAATGATTCCTGCAGCATCATCAGTGTGTGTTTTCTTGTGGAGGTCATGAGAATGCTGAGTCATTCTGCAGAGCATCTCGCTCACGCTCTCCAGCTTTCAGTAGGTGAGACACTCTGTAAGATGATCCAGTGTCATGACTAATTCAGCAATCTCCATAGAAAGACCTTGAGAAGCTGGCAAACTGCAAGCCACCAAATCAGTTGTCATCATTTGACTAATGATAATTAGAATACAAGAACTTCAAGCAGAAAGCTGAATAAGCAGTCACATATCATTAGCGCACGCACACACACAC